GCCTTTATTTATAATTAACTCACTATCTATTTTTACATGCAGAATACGCCGTTTTCCCAGAATTACCCTTATTACTGTAATTATTGTGATTATTGAAATTCACTTTATTCCCGCTTTTCGCCTAATTCTAAGAATTCATCGAATTTTCCTAATTCTCGTAATTCCGGAAATTCTGAAAATCCCTGGAATTCCGCCGGTAAAGCCAAATTAGGAATTCCCGGGTCTCGTGTCCACGTGCCTGCGGTCAGGTCCCGTTTCGGATATCCTTATGTCAAGCAAATTTCGGGCTTAAGATCATTTCCGGCCTAAAAATTTTGAGTCGTAGTATATCAAAAATTTCCTATATATTTAGTATATAAAAATGCTCCATATGACTAAAATTTCGTGCCGAAAACTTTTATTTAAAGGTCGGAAGTTAGTTAGCATAGTAAAATTTTTGCGTTATTTACAATTTTTTGCATTTTCTTATATTTTTTGCGTTTGTTTTGTTACACAAGATCCTGTAATTTTATTGAATCCGATCTACGAAATTTATGATCGGAAGTGATCTTCAGCGATCTTTAGCCCGGAATTTGCTTGACATAAGGGTACCCGTCATGTTTCCGGTCTCACAACGTATGTCAAATTCTCTAAGAATATGTTATGGGCTATTCGAACAAAAAAAAATAAAATTGATATTTTTAAAAGTCAATTTCGAAATAATGTTAATGAACTTATTTTGCGATTATATGGTAGTCCTGCATTACGTACTTGATGCGAAACAAAATTATTTCCTGGTGCTAATATACATGCCAGTTATGCATTTGAAAGTAATTTGCCCGGTAGAGACTGGACTCGAGTCAACTCGTGGCTTAAAAAACATAGTCTTGACTCGAGTTAATTCGAGTTAAAACTATGTTTTTAAGCCACGAGTTGACTCGAGCCCAGTCTCTATCGCCTGGCCGAATTCGGACTTAATAAAGTTCAATAGATACTTATCCAGTCAGACCTTCATTAGCTTTTTTGTTATCAATAGAAAGTTGTCTACCTTGCTTTAATCGTTAATTTCGTTAAATACATTGTATTCAAGATTGGTTTGTCCAGATTATTTACATGGATTTACTTGAGAATCATGAGTGCGACTTTTTACACTACCCTAAATTTATGACGTAGTATGTGATAGACTATTTGATGCAAGTCAAATTATTTGACTATAAATATAATTACTATTTAGATACGAAGATTAATTTTAAAGTTAAATTTTAATAACAATAAAAGAGGATAGGTATTTAATGATAAAAAAAAAAGAGAAGGGTTTTGAGGCGGGAAGATGGGTTTGACGTAAAAATTATATTGATTTTATTGATTTGGGGTGCAATTTAATATATGCATCATTTTGTTGACGTATAATTCAGCATAAAAATTTGAATTAATCAGGGTTTTTGATTTGGGCCCAATTCCAAAAATGTGCACGAATGTATTTAGGATTTGCATAATGACTACGCTAAATATTAGGTATTGGAACTCGAAAAATTATGTTTGCGCGCTTAATTACAAGTTACACGATTAATATAATAGTTTGACCGTTTAACCATTTAACAGTAATCGTATAATTAAAACCAGGAAATGAATATTTAAGTTTTCATTGTAACAAACTTAATTCCGATAAATTATAATATTGCTTAATTGAATCACAAATATAATCAGTTCGCTACGGTAAGAACTTGAATATTCACTTTCAGGTTTTAATTTGGCATCACTCATGAAGTTATACCTAAATGTTGATAGGGTTCAGTGTTATGAAATAACCACACGCATAACTGTTATTATATCCACGTGAGGCATTAAACGATTATTAAACAATTAATCGTATAAAATTTAAAAAACGGTTAAGCGAATAATTTAACGGTTTTTAATCGTTTATAAAATTTCTTACTCGTTTAATCGTATAATATAAACGGCTAAAGGCGGTTAACCAAATAACGGTTCCAATCCCTATTAAATTTCAATACAAGAGAATTCGACTTAAATTCTCTCCAGGTTGCTACCAGAGTTTCTTTCCAAAAAATAGACTGTTAGTAATATTATTCATTAATAGTAGTATAACCCGCTAATATGATGAATTTTTTTAATCATTATAAATTGATATAAAAAGTAGTGTAAATGTGTTTAAAAAGTTCTATAAGTAAATAAAATTTTATTGCTAATCAACCAGGATCGCAATTCCCCCTTTCTTAATCGTCATATCTTCCGTTTCCCCACCACATTCACACTTTTACTCCAATCAGAACTCCATAACTGCAAAAACAATTGAAGATTAATTACGTTCATTGCAACCATACCAAACAATGCAATTATCCAATGAAATTCATGAATAAAAATATGATGTTCATTCCATACTCTTATCAAAAGATAACCATGAATAGTAAATCTAGCAAAGATGAATGTTAAAATAAGTAATAAAGAATTGATTTTGTAAAATGTAGTTGATTTTGATCGGTGATACATAAGAGAAAGTTTGCGTTGATGCAAAAAAATATTACTAATTTCAACTAATAAGGTTGCTGTCAAGTATGGAGAGTATTTACATATTATGACTGATGCTAAAAATGATGTGCAAACCTAAGGAAAAAAAATATATATAATTAAATTTTTTTCATTTTAATCGTGAGCAGAAAGAAATTTTACCATTAATTTACGTACCACCACATGATGAATCCAAATCCCGGGTGAATCCATAAAAATATCTTTCTTCCAAAAATCAAACATGTCAGCAAAAAAATAACCTTTATATACAGGTTAAATAAAATGCAATATAATATAAGTAATTATAAAATTTTAAATTGGGTACATTTAATTATATTTGACATACTTTTTACCTGTAGAAAAAGCAATTTGAAAGTTACACAGTGGTACAACCATATTAATCATATCATTCCACGCACGAGGGTAATAATAAAAGCTAAAAAAAAAAAAAGAAAAACGAATATAAGTTTAGAAGAAAATGTTATACCAGAGAAATTAATAAATAAAAATCACCATAGAGGAGTAATAATTGAACAAATACATGCGTGAACGTAGCTAACAAATGTATTATCCCAAAGTGCTCTTTTTTTTTGATTTAAGTTTTTATAAAAAGTCTATGAATCAAAGTTTTAAAAAAAGAAATAAAAAGCCAAGTTAAACACTAGAATATTAAATTATATAAGGATTAAAAAAACACTTACTGAATAAAAAGCGACACATCTCGAAGAGACATAATTAAGTAATATGAAGCCTACAAAAGAACCCAATATGATTTTTGATGATTCATTCGCGCAACTATCCATTTTGATTGTGTAAAAAATTTCGAAGGTTTGAACAGTTTCATGATTTATACGTAACTGATCTACAATCATTTCCTTTTATAAATTATCAATTTATAATAATTGTCAATCAATGCCAAAAATTAATTACATGTTTCAATATTTATGTTGTGGAACTAACGTCTAACAATTTTCACACTGCAGATAAAAGCCACACATTGTCTGTTTTTTTGGTTAATGTAATAAAGATGACGAAACACTACGTATCCAAAATAAACAACAATATATAATGGCTGAGAATCACTACGTAATAGTCTGAATTTTCATTTATTTAATGATATTTTTCATTTATTTAATAATGTATACAATCATTAAAAGTGATCTAAGGAAATGAAACATTGTTGGGTAAGCGTGAATTTATAACACTGATTTATTAATGACTTATATCCGCTAATAGCATCACAGTTCGTTTTTAATAATTAGGGATGATAATGATTCGTTACGATTCTTATCAGAATTGAATCAAAATTATAATAAACATAGAGGATTATTATCAAGATTCTAATGGAATGTATCGAATTAATTGTTGATTATTAATTTTAATTAGAGTTAAAATTACTAATCTACAGCATTTATTTAAGACAGAACATGTTGGAGAAACGTTATTAAAAAAATTGCTGCCTCATAGAACGTACAAATATATACAATATTCATTCGTCATCAAATTTTATCAAATGGAATTGGACGAGTACGATTTTGATTAAGCTATTGTAACTTATGATTGTTACTTATAATTGATCCTGATTTCAACCTATTCGGTACTGTAGCCATAATGCCACATTGATTACCGCAAAACGTTATGGAAATGCAGTAACAAGATGCGGTAAAACAATGCGGCAAACGTCGCTATTCAGTAATTTTACCATCAATTATATTCGGTGCATAAGCTAATCACCAATTTTTGTATTATTAATAATTAAATATTCATATTTAGGACCATCAATCAAGATCAAGATCAATATGTGCTGCATTAGCTCTAAGAAGAGACGATTTACAGTAATAATTGGTGAGTTGAAACTATGCAAAACAAATCTATATATAGGGTCATTAATCCGACCTATGGAAATTTTTAAATTAGTCTTGGTTCTGACAATTCAATGAAGTATTAATTAATGACTTTATTGAATAATGTCACATCTTTAATAAGAGAACCATAAATCAAAAAATCTTTCTAAGACCAGGCATCAAAGTTCTGATGTCCCTGGACAGATACGGGATTAACACTTTATTATACCATAGTAATAAATAATTATCATCGTTATTTTAGTCCAATATATCAAATGATTTGTCAACCAAATAAGGTAAGTATAAATCATCGTATTTTATAATAGAAGAATTCAAAGTATCTTTCTTTTTTTTTTAATTTCTTATCGAGTCTTGTGCAATAGTAATTTTTCGCTGAATCAGAGTATTTTATCTATCTTTTACTTAGTAATTTCTATGATTAACTGATCTTGTAATTTGGACAAAATATTTTATTTCAAATAAGAACTAGTTAATACATCATTTCCGTATCTATATAAGTAGATGCAAAAAATAGGATCAAAAAAAATTTACAGTATTCGAAGTTTTTACTGATAACCAGCAACCTCAAACAACGTGCATATTTAATCATAGCTTAGTTTATCGGATTCATTTCGCGTCATTTCAGATGAGCTATATATTGCATATCAAAGTAAAAGTGTATACTGAATAATTTGTATCTCTTAAAATAATAAAATTATCAAATAAAAGCCCCATTTATAATACTAAATAACCTCTGGGCTATTCGTAAATGAGTTTCGTCTTGTAGACCGCAGATTAATAGAATTAGTATGAAATAAACCAAAATCTGTTCCAGCTATAGGAAATTTTCAGTTATTGCAATAATTAGCAAGTTTTTAACGGTAAATCATTATAGAAATCACGACTATTAATTCCAATACAAACCAACTAACATTAACAACATATTGTATGTATTATCATAATTAGTCAGTATGATAAAAAGAATGGCCATTAATTTCATTATAGCTAGTAAGGTTTGTAATAAAATCTCTTAAATAAATTATGATAGAAATCATGAGTGTTAATTAAATACAAACCAACCTAATCTAATCAACATATTGTGTATTTTCACAAAATTTTTAGTTAATTACGATAGAAATTATTACTGTTGATTATTTAACAATATAATATGTGTTATCGCGATAGTTGGTAAGTTTTGAAACAAAATTTTTTACAGTGATAGAAATCATGACTGTTAATTCCATTTCAAACTAACTCAACGTTAACAAATATGCTGTGTCACTACAGATAGTAAGTTTTTTTGAAAAATTTTTTACAGTAAATCATGATGGAATCAAGAGAAATTGTTTAGTAAATAGAAACTACGATAACTTAATGCAACATTATTTTAACCACATACAATAATTTTTTACAATAAATAATCTAGAAATCTTCATAATTCCAATACATCCGTTACTATAGAATTCTGATAGAAATCCGATAACTCCAAATAAACTCAGCTATATATTTGTTACTACAAAAGTTGCAGCAGAATTTTCTACAGAAATCACGATAGAAACTGTAATAATTTTAATAAAACCTAGCCACGTTACAATGCTTTAACAAAATAGTATATAAATTTATAATAAATTTTTTTACATTAATTTTAATACAAATTAACAAGTATTAATATAAAGTTTATTAAATTTATTGAGATAATTGTCTAAAATAACTAGTTAATTCATGAATATATATTTAACTTTGATTTTCTTTTGTTTATATGATGAGTATAAAAAATATTTATTATTGCATTTAATTCTATTTATTCATTTTAATTTAGTGTGTGGGATGTAAGAAAATTTATTAATCTAAGTGTCTAAAAATAACTATTTAAGATCATGAATATTTAAATTTAATTTTCATTTTATTCGCATTGCTTTAGGTGGTATAAAAAAATTTATTAATCTAAGCGTTTAAAATAAAATATTTAATATTACTATAGTGTGTGAGTGCAAGATATTTAGGAACTAAAATAGCTACGTATTATATTTTCAAAATCGAAAGAGTATTTAAAGTTGATTTCAGAAACAAAAAAATTTTTTTTAAAGAAAACCTAATTTATCGGTTCAAAGTGTCTTTATTTGTTTTAATTGGTAATTCTTATCCTGAATAGAGATCGGATTGAAATCAATGAATTTTGGGCATCATTTATCTTAAATTCTAGTTTTTCAAATCAATAACAAATTGTTAAGATTGTTAAAATAGTTTTTTCTATTCTGGGACCTTTTGGTACCTTCCCATCATATGTTTATGTATATACCATCATATTTTGCAAAGGTTGACCCATAATTTGCTAAATGCAATGTAAAATCGACTATGACCTTATTGTGCAATTCCCATAATAGATCGTAACAGTTTATTTACGTTACAAAGTACCGTAATTAGGGATTGTAAAAAAAAACTATTTTAACCATTCGTATGGGCGAAAATTTCCAGCTTTCATAATTTTTATAATGCATAAAAGTTTTTTGAATCAATCATATGCAAGATTTGGAGTGACTACTGAGATGAAAATTGATATTTTAATCAATCATCGTAAAATTTCTTATGAGATACTTATCAGTCAGAGCACAAAATTGTGGCATGACGTATCCTGATATTTTCCGGCGATCTTTTTATTAAACGGAATTTAAGTAAGATCTATAGAAGTAATCAGTTATGATGTAAGAAAGTGTCAAAATTCTTGAACAACGGAAAATTTCCGACTATCAAAAAATTGCGCCGGAATTTATAGTAGATTTTGTGCTCTGCATGGATCTGGGTGACAAATGGATGCCTCGTGACTTCGTTCACGGCTACCTTAAGGCGTACTGCTGTACGAAAATCTGAAAACAAAAATAAGTTTTGAATTTTTTTTTTTGGTTTGTTTTCGTAAGTGCATGAGAACTTACTAATTATTTAACTAACATTTATTTTCAGTACTACTAGTTAGCGAACTAGCACCTATCAGTATTGTATCAGGGTTACTGTACGATTTCCGAAAGCTATTTTCTCGAAAGAACATAACACTAACCAATTATTCCTTTCTAGAAAATGGCTTTTGTGAATTTGAGTTACATTATTAGTATTAAAACGAATCTATTGATTAGCAATTTGCAAAGCATTTTATTTATTTGCAGTGTCAATAAAAATGAAACATTTCAAATGTTCGTGTCAATTATTAAACAAAGTAAAAATCACAGCCCAGAATATAGTTAAGGAATTTGAAACAGAGTTATATTTTAAAATTGCTGTACAAGCTTGTAAACGTAGGTTCAGCAAAATTTTATTCTCAAGAGAATAAAAGTACCGAACAAAAACTTCATATTTTAATTTTTTTTTTTACTAGCAGAAAGAATTCTGAAAGTGCATAAATAAATACTTTGGCTTAATAAAAATAGGTGGAATTTTTTTTTCTTGAAGCAAACCGATGTTTTTATTTTGCGGCTGTACTGATCTAACCCAATTAAGTTAGGGCTTCCCATTTAACTATAAAACTATAAAACTTTAATACTTTAACTGCGTACTACTCTTAATTGTTAAACCTGGATTTATACTTGCTGTCAAAATTCAAATAGCTATGTCTCAAGCCAAAAGTTTCAAACTTTAAATTTTATATACGCGGTAAAATTATAACCAGTAAAATTTGCATATTAATATTAACTTCTATATTTTTTTTAGATTTGGGACTTAAAAAGTTTGAAATCGGTTTAACACTGCCCATGATATCTAATATTGCATGTGACTATTAGAACTCGGTTCAAGTCTGACTCGGAACCGAGTCTAAATTAAGACTCATGGAGTCGAACCTAAATACGTGAATAAGCATATGCAGAACCCCAAATGCACAACACTGAACATACATTTACTTACCATCTTTGGCAAACAATTTTCACAATCCTTTTTTTGCGGTTACACTATTTAAAACTGCGATTTGATAAATTTACTTTAGAAACATCTAGTACGACCAAGAACAAGGAATACTTCTTAACAACTATAGGATGAATGAAAGTAATTTTTTTTTTTTGCTAAGTGTAAATAGGAAAAGTGACATGGCGGGGGCCCACTGGGCTGTCATCAGTCAAGGCTATTTGCCGAGTCACAAAACTAGTGCTGGGGCGCGGGGGGCCTACTTGGCTGCCCGATGTTCAAGGCTACTTGCCGACCTAGTACTAGTCCCATTGGGGCACAGGGGACCTACTTGGTTGCCTGTGTTCAAGGCTACTTGCCGACTCGATGGGATGAATAATCAGAATTTTTGACAGTAAAAATGCAAGTTAAATATTAATATTTCCCTAATTTTTTTTGTTTGAGTAGCGGCCGTAAAATTGCTAGAGATTGGGGAGGTGAGTCAAAAATAGTCTCTCAATTAACACGAGCATAAAAAAATCTGGAATTTTTTTAGAAAATGTAGATTAATTCTATCTGGAGAACCTTTTCACCACTAGAATTTCGATGGAAAGATTTTAGTTCCCTTCGTAAATTATTGCCGAAAACAAGTAGAAACGAAAATAATCGGAATATTCATAGTAAAACGGACAGCGACAATGAAGAAGTCAGTAAGATTTGTTTAATTTTAAAATTAACTAATAACTTTATTTTAAAAATGAACTTGCAGGTACCCGTTGCTTAATTTGCAAAGAAAAGAATTAAGAGTAATAACATCTATTCTGAGCTTTGGAAACGAAGAGGTACAGATCCAAGATGTTTAAACATTACATCAATTGATATATTATTTTTCTTTACATTTCATGTCTTTGTAGTCTTTGCATTTAATAATTAGCATAATCCAAATCAAAGTAATTGTTTTTAAATTAGTTAAGTAAACTATTTGATTATGTTAATAGAAGTAATGATAATGCTGACATGATTATTTGATTTAGAAAACCAGACCTTCTTAATTTAGATCAAGCGACAATTTCATTCCTTCATATATTAAAGGAATTACGTGTAACACACCTACCATGTCATTATCATTTCAATACACTATAACGTTATTTCAGGTATATGTATTAGAATATTTCAATTATATTTGGCTATATTCCATTAGATGATCTAGTCGAATTTTCGACGCTAAGGTTGTTGAAGTTGGGATTACAGGTCTATTATTTCGGGGGGTTTTTTTTGAGATACTGAACAGGTTTGCGATTGGAATTGTTTGTATTTTTATTTTCGATCAAATAAGCTCAACGAGCTTTTGTATTGAATTTACAGTCCCCGATATTGAGGCAATGCTTAAAGAACTGAGTTAATCATGAAAAAATAATGTAAGATAACATCTAGTATTGCCCTCGGATGATTATCAAAGTGCGTTTGTAAAAAAAATTTATTATTATAAAGGAAATTAAATAATATTATGAATGCAGTTCTTTTTTATATATTTAATATTAACGAATATGTCGAGCATCAACGAGACAAAAGATCTAAACAATTATAACATAGCACAGGTGAGATTAAGGATTCTCTATTGATACTTTGAGGACTTCGGCAGGGTGTCGAAATTAGGGATGTTACGGACCGGTCTTTTGAACCGGTTAGGTAATCTTCCGGTCTAAAATTAAGGACCGGGTCCGTACTGGTCCTTAATTATACAAAATTCGATTTTTACTTTAACTATATCAATTATAAAAAAATTTAAATTTTCGGTTATCAAACCAATTCGTAACAAACACATGACTTTTTTGATTAAATTTTCTAACGATAATAAAAGCCGTCTTAAAAAGATTCAGCATTAAACCATCACAAAACTTATAATAAAAATTTATATGTAATATATAGAAAGCCTTCTTTACGCAATTACGGTTTCAAATTTTTGGATATTAAAGCCAATTCATAACATACGCATATTTTTTAGCTACGTAGAATATATATAGCAAAACAGAAAGAAAAAGTTCCTACTAATAGTTAGAAATGTTTGATTAATTAAAAATTTTTAAACCGTAACTTTAGCTACATTATGGCAATGTTTGTTGCAAAGATTGCCAGAAAAAAATTGATAGTAGTTCGTTGAATCAATTTTTTGAACACTTCTTTGATAATAATTTATATATAGTAAAAACGGATCGATTTTGACGATCAATTTTATGCATAAAAATCTAACAGAATGGCGCACTTTGATTAATTAGTATTTGAAATACCCCAAATACTACGTTTATAAATGTACAATAAAAAAAAGCCGTTTAATCAATAGACAGTTGTTTGTGGCGTTATCCTTTTTTTTAAGAAACCCCTTTTTTTTGGGGCGATTATTAATAATTCGATGATTATTGATCATCAGATAACTCCTGGCTTTTATAATTAGAAACTGTCAAA